ATAGTTAGATTTATAAAGGCACCAGGTCATGAAGATATGAACTTATTTAGTTTTGAAAGAGAAAGAAATGATGTGTTTTGTATCAGAAATAAGAAAGAAGGTTGTTTGACAAATTATAAAACTTTCCTAAAGTTAACTTTTTGTCAATCTAATAACCCTGATCAAAAGTTTACATTAGTGAATAAGTTAATCGAAGAGTATAATTTTAAATATAATTTTAAAGATAGTTATACTATTTCATTTAACGATAAACCATTATCTGTGAGTAAAAATGAAAAAATCACTGAAAATTACAAAATAGATTTTGATGGAAATATTCCTATGAAATTTGATATAAAAATGTTAGATAATACATCTTATTATAACATTTATGAATCTACAAGTGGTAAAGTATTGAATGCCAATGAAAATAATTTAGTTTTAAAGACTGTAGATGGAAGTTTATTACAAATGTTTGCTCTTAAAAAATTTGAGAATAATGAGGTGAGTATTGCTAATTACAAAACAGGTAAATGCCTAACTACATCAATAGTTAATTCTAAAATAATACTTGCACTAAACAAATGTGATGATAATAACTTGAATCAAAAGTTTACAATTAAAAAATATGAAAATATTAATAGAAGTATTAATCGACAGAATATTCCTTCAAATAAACAGAATATAAATTCAAATAATCAATTTAATAATAAATTATTACCAAGTAGTAATCAAACAGTACAAGATGTAAATAACAAGACGATGAATAGAAGAATAGAAAATTAAAATAAATTATTTTAAAAACATTTTTAAGTTTTAAATTGATTTAAATGAATAGTGAAGAAAAAAATGATAAAGAAACTAATCAAAATGAAGAAGAACTAAACAATCTGTCACTTATACTTGATTCTCTAAATAATTCTATTGGGATAGATAACACTAATAAAAAGAATGTTGGTAATCTTTTAAATTTTAAGCCTCATTCTGATGAAGAGATTATTAATAAGATAAATACATTCAAGCTATTAAACTATAAAATATTTGTAGGAATTATTAATTTACATTGCAATAAAGAAGATAGATTTTATGATGACAAGTGGTATGGGTGGTCAGATGATATTGTAAATGAATTAAAAGAACACAAGAATATATACTTAATGTTTGAGAATGATAGTGAAATAAATATCCAAGAATTATGTTTTAATAAAGGAGGAGATTTCTGGAATGATGCTAATTTTTATAAGTCAGATAGCAAGTATGCTAACAAGATGATATCAATTATAAAAAGTATTATAACAAAATTTGAAAATGGATTGGTAACTAAATGGGGCAACCTTCAACCCAAGTCAGCGTTTCAATTAGTAGGAGAACGAATTATGGGAAATAAAAGAAATTATACTTTAAGTGATGTTAAGAATACACTTTTAAAAGAGAAACAAGATAGTTTTAAATTTAAAAGAACCAGATTAGAATTGATAAGTAAATATTATCACAATTCTTTTATAGAATGAATAAAATATTACTTTTTATTAATTTTATTATGAAATATCACTTTCATTTATTAATAAAAGTAATTATTTTTTATTATAGTCAGATAACTTAATAATACTTGTTTATAATTGTTTGATTTTGTTCACCGAAAAGATTTCATAATCGAAATATTATTTCCTTTTAAATACTGTCAAATAAATCATTTTCTTTTTTAAATGAAAATTTTTTTTATCCCTCTAATATGGTAAAGATAACTGAGTTAACACCTGAGCAAAAGATAAATTATCAGAATAAAAAGTTAGTGTTGGGATTTGATGAAAAGAGCGGGTTTGATATTTTTGTAATGTTTTTAATTACAACTTTAAATATCATTCTTGTTTGTTTCTCTTTGGTATCTTTAGAGTTTTATAAAAAACCTTGCTTAGTTACTGGAATTACGTTTATTTCATTCGATCTATTCTTTATTCTTTATTTAATCTTCTATAGATTGAATTATAAGTTACCAGCAACTATGTTTGTATATGATTTAAAAGGATTCTTTGATTTTTCATTCCTTTATACATTCTATCTTGTATTGTTTTATAATTTGAAAAAATCTAATTTGAATGATCCTGATTTATCTTTTATTTCTTCTTTAGATTGTCATAAAATTTTAATACTTTGTTCCTTTTTACTTTGTTATTTAGTAATTTATTTTATCTTGCATGTTCAATTAACCGCATTCGTTAACAAATGTAACTACAAGAAAAACTTTTATGAGAATTTAAAAGATTCTATTGTTTAAATGAATTAAATTGATGACTCTTTTATGTAATTTTTTAATGTTTTTTTATACAAAATTATTTATACTTTTTAAAATTTTTAATACCGTATAATTTTTGAATAAGTCTTTCGTAATTATTGTTCTTTATATGAAAATTAAAAACTTTAAAAAGTTTTTATATGAAATTTAGATTAATTTTACTATCTTTAAAGTAAAATTTTAATTATAAATAGAAGATGTATGTTTTTATATTAAATTGTCAAGTAAAACACGTTTTCTATTCAATTTATGATTATAATATATAATTACGTAGTAATTTCTGATAAAATAAAATACCAAATTTAATTATTACGTGTTAATTTTCATTTTTAATAGTATAAATTAATTTTTTTTACAAAATTATTTATTAAAAAAAATTAATGAATAAATACATATTTAACAGTAAAACGTCATTTTATCAAAAAAATTATTTTATATTATAAAAAATTAAATTAACACAAGCATTTTTGTAAAACAATGTAAATGTAATAAATTTTAAATATATTGAAGGTTAATACGTTTTTGTTTTAAAAAATAAAACCTTTTTTAATAATGAGGTAATATTTCTGAATATAAAGTGTTTATAAATAGAATTAAAGATTTTAATTGGTTAAATTATTGTTATAAAATAATATTAATTTCTTCAAAACGTATTTTGTACCGTTTTTTGTTTAAATAAAGATTTATGCAAGATTAAAATAAAATGAAGTTAATAGTGTATTTTACATGAATAAAACAGTTTATTTTGAATAAAAGAAAGTAATAATATATTTTTAAAATTAAAAACATAATTTAAAAAATAACGTATTTTAATTTTAATTAATATATTTAATATAATATAAAATCAAAGTAAGAATAATTTTATATTAATTGTTTGTAACTTGATTTTATAGCAAATTCACCTAAAGTAACTTTATAATTACTTTTCAGAGTATGTTAATTTAAAACCTATATTATTTTAACCTATATCACCTGAAAAATGATTAAAGTAGACAAAGAACAGTGACGTATATACAGCGGTTTAATGAACCTATTGTCACTGAGAATTTCTTGTCCATAATTCTCACAAAATTCAATAGTACTCATTTATTTTTGTTTTCTCTTACGATAGATATTATAGTGTACTTGTTGATTAAATTATTAAAAGAGTTATAAACCTCTTATATCACATAATACTCGCTTGTCTGAAAGATTTTTATTAATTCAAACACTTAAGCTAAAAGATGTCTTATAAGTTTCTTACGGTCCTGCAGATTTATTTCTATTTCATTTTACGAAAAACTATTACATAGTAAGTTTCATCATATTAAATCAAATTAAGTAGAGCAACCCATTCCTTTTGGTGTCTTTTTATCAATTTTGTTTCTAATTTCAAAATATGATCGTATTTTCCTCAAAATTCATACATTAATATTTCTCCTTTCACCATTTCGCGATAGAGAATGTCAGTATAATTTACTGTTAATGTTATAATGATTTTAATCCCTATCACTACTATAGCCTTTGTTTATTATTAATCTGAAATTTATAAGAGCATCATGTTTGCTTCTATTAATCTAAATAAGGTTTTTAGGTTTCATCTATTACCTGTCTGTTTGTTTATTCAATTAAATAGATTAAATGTTATTGTTATAACTTTTAATTTTAAGTATTTGAAAAGAATTGATCTTAAAAATTCATTATGGTATTTTTAACACATAAGGAATGATTCCGTCCTATTTATAAATTTTATATTTTATAAAAATTAGAAAAAAAATTATTATAATTTTTAATAACTAACCACTCTTTATCATACCCTTTACTTGGTTTTAATAGTGATTCTGACCCTCTTTTATCAATTTTAATCATTTTCTTAGTCGCAGTCTTAAAATAAATTATTTAAGTAAAAATTTATTTATATAAAATAGTTCTCTTAAAAATATAAAAATAAATCATTTTATTTCCTAAAGTATCATTAAATAATTTTATTAATAGAATCTTATCTTTAATAATAATCTTAAATATTAAAGAAAATAACATATGTATAGTTTCAAAATGTTAATTATTATTTATTATATCTTTATAAACTGTTTTATAAGAAGTTTTTTAAATAAAATTTAATTAATTATACTCTTAATCACGGAGATAAAAACAAACATATTTTTAATAAATTTTTCTATATATAACTTAAAATTTTAATTTATGATAAATTTATTAAATATTTATTATTTACACTGTAATGAATAAAGATATTTTAAAAATAATTTATTAACGACATTAATTATGTTTTTTTATAAAAACAATTTTTTTATATCAAATATATCAATTTTTATAATTTTCAATTGACAAAACCAAATGATTTTATTGTAAATTGAAAAAACAATTGTTTATAAACTTATTTATTAATTAAAATATTATTAAATCAAGTAATTTTAAAAAATGATATATAATAATAAAGTATAAATAGTAAAATGTAGATTTAAGATTATTTTTACTGAAAGTATATTTTTCTTAAAAAAATAATAATTTTAAAAGAAATTTATTTAAGCTTTGATTAATTGATTGCTTTCTTGTGAATTTTGATTATTAATTGTGAATTGAGAATTAACATTCTTATCTTTTAGATCAATTGTACTACTTTTCTTAACAACAATCTTTTTACCATCTAAATAAACAGATTTTTCACTATTGTTAACTGATGCTGAATCCTCTTCTTTGACTACTTTATTTGTTTCTATTTTACTAATAGATGCACCATAACCGAATTTGTTAAACAATGAATTAATAAATTGTATAATTTCAGTTATCAATTTTCCTATCGAATAAACAATTGAAGAAACTATTATTATAAATAAATCAATTATAATGTTAATAAAATTCCACAAATTAATTTGGTAAACACCCTGTTTTGACATGTTATTCAAATCTTCTATTACCTTGTTTAAAGGTTTACATAAATTAGCAAAGAAGGGTTGATAAATTACTGATTGAATACTACTATTCTCACTTAACTTATCAGATGGAAAACTTTCACTAACAATACTGACAGATCTACTTTTAGATCTTTGATTCGTCATTTTAGCTAGAAAAGATCTTTTTAAGGAATTAAATCTTTTGATTAACCCATCGTCACTTCTAATAATTTCCTCATAGATCTCATATTTCACATCTTCTGCATTTGATGTATAATATGTATCATTTTTCTTTGCTAATTTTCTATTGTATTTATATTTAACAAGATCATACATCACTTCTTCAGGAGTAATTTTGTAATTTATTTTTTTACCTTTGAAATCTTCATAGGAAATAATATAGTATACCTTTCCATCTATGATCTTCTTTCTATATAGTGTGTTACTATCACACCCGCATATTACTTTAAAACAGCTTTTAATACTTTCTGGTATTATCTTCATTTGTTTGTAATACTAATTTTTTTAAATAATTTATTTGAAACTGTTTCATCATATTAATACATTGTTTATAAATTGATCATTTTTTTGTAAAATCAATTTTTAAGTATTTTTTGAAAAGAAAAATCATCTTATAATAATTTGACTTTTTAATGTATGTGCCGTGTTTTACCCTAGGGATACGACCCGTGATGACATATTGTGTGAAGTAAGACTTAATCTTACTTGTATCTGTTGCGTTGTTAATAGTGTTGTTGTTTACTAATTTATTCATTGAATATTGGGGTTAAAATTTAGAACAAATTTATGTTTAAATTTTTTTTAAAACGAATCCTTTGTAGAAACAGAGTTACTACA